GGGGGGGGGGGGGCAAAGCTATATGGTACATCCGCACTTCCTCCATAGCCTTAGAAATATTTCAATACGAATAATTAAATTCACTGTTTAAAATAGTATTTTATTTATTTAGTGTATCATTTTACACCATTAAATTATTTGACTATCATAAAAGATCATTTTGAACAATTGCAAATGGAGCATTTCTATAAAAAAAAAGCACTTGTCAATTGACAAGTACCCTTTCCTCCTTGAAAAATTTCTGAACTAACGCTAGATTGACAATTAAATTATTTGGATTAATAAAGCTCATAATTTTAGAGGAAAATAATAGGTGATTTCACAGTAATTCGAAATAAGGAAATATTCGAAAGTGTAAGAATGAATGTGATCAAGGAATCCATTTGTAGATCTCATTAATTAAATGGGTTCACATCACTAATTAAAAATAGACGATTGGTCCAAACTTAAATAATGTCTTGTGTCACTAGAAATATTGTCGCAAGACCCTGCGGCCCGTAAATATCAGTGATGAAGTAAACAATTCTGAATACCTACATTTACGAGAATTAATATTTTCATAAATATTTTACTTACCTTATTTGACAACAAAATTGTAACGTTTTTTGAAAACCAGACAAAAAGACATTATATTATAAATAAAAAAATATTTTATGAAGGAAAATACAACAATTGTTGCTAAAATTGTTTTAAATGAAATAACATTCGTAATTGAAGATACAAATTGATAGCTTAACAAAAAATTGAGAATTCCAGATTACCGGACAGTAATATAACATTTTAATATTCTAGAAAGTGGGAAAAGTTATAAATATGTTGATAGGAATTTTAAGTTCATGGTGAGGTTCATTCGTACTCATATAGCAGTCCCGTATCGATTGCTTTACATCTGTATTTCAGTTTCCATCGAGATATTATATCAGGATATAAACATTATAGAATTATTCGTACATCACTAGCCATACATGATAATATTCATTTTCAAGTTCATCGATTCTTTGGGGAAAAGGGTTAAAACAGGTGTCATTGCGTTGTTTGCGCTTTCTTTGTTCTATAGTAGTACTGGCGCAATCCGCTCCCGAGTAGGCGCGCTAGTATTCAGTTCAATATGGATGGCAGGAACATGTGAACCATCAACTCACTGATAGAAATTTCACATTGAGTGGGACGATTCGTCCTAATCATAAAAGAAAACAACTCTCTAAAGCAATGGTTTGAATACTTTTCTAACCTTTGAAGGTAATTTTTCCATATGGTGTGTGTTTATTTTCTGAACGAAAGAATCTTCGTATGCAAGACAAGTGACATTTTCGTTTAATGTCTTTTGTGTGCATAAGTACTAAGCGATTCTTAACACAGTAAATACGCTTTGTCATTCGTGCCCCGCGGGTGAATTTTACTTGTTATGACTGTAAGTCACTTGCTCTATGGCTGACAAGGGCTCCTCCTTCTCACAAGTAGGATGACTAGAACCTGTCAAGAGTGATAGTATTAGTATATGTTTTACCTTTCCATTGATTAAAATGAATACATCAAATTTTTCAGAAATTTAGTTTGTGAAGATAAAGTTTGAATTGTGTTTTTTTTCTTATTTTAGGTACTTCTAGAAAACAATGCCTACCTTTTTAACTCCAAATAGACATGGATACTCAGTTCGTTTTTCTCCATATCAGCCAGAGAGAATTGTTTGTGCCACATCTCAATACTTTGGATTGGCAGGTAAGTGATAATGAGGTCCTCTTAGAAGATGTTTTTACTTCGAAGTCCTTACTTTTATATTCTTAGTATGAAAAAGAAATGATTTTCTATACTCTAATGTTCCTCTGTACTAGTAAAATAAAGTAGCTTAAGGAAACAAGTTTTATGAGATTTATTTTCATGATTCAATAGGTGGAGGAACATTGTTCTTATTGGAAATCACACCTGAAGGAAATCTAGTTGAAATATCTACTTTCCAATGGACTGATGGTCTCTTTGATGTGGTGTGGAGTGAAACCGATGCAAACATTGTTGTTAGTGCCAGTGGTGATGGTGTCTTACAGTTGTGGAATGTCAGTTGCCCACAGGTAAAAATTGACTTTTCTTTTCAGTTTCAGAGTGTTTAGACTATTCTTAGTGACTATTGTTAAATAGTGTTCCTGAATAATTTTTATGATAAATTTATGAGAATCTTTCACAACTGCATTACTGTAATTTGGTACTTTACTGTGGTCAGTGAAATTTGTAAGATTTTTAACGTAAAAGTAAATTTGGCTCCTAAGAAATAGGAATTTTTAGGAACTTTTTGGCGAACAATTTGCAATTATTTGAAGCCAAGCAAAACAATTATTAAAAGTTGTCAGCTAGACTTTACACTCACATGATTTGAATATTGGGTGTTTTGTGCTAAAAATATAAATATTGCATTTCTTCTCTCAATAGGCAAATATTAATGTGTTGGATAGCAAGTATATTTTTGATAACTTAATTTTTGATTGCTATACCCATTGATGGGTTTCAGGAACTGTAGGTTTCATTGTTCTCTGTATGAATTTGAAATTATTCTTGCAGTTTTTCTCATGAGAACAGTATTTTAAATGTTAATGAAGTGTGTTTACTGTGTGACAGTGTAATCACAAGGATGTATTGAAAAGGAGTTAATGAATGTTCTTGATGTGAAAAGTGGTACAAATTGGTAGCAAGAATTAATCATAAAAGAATTTCATAAATACTTGAAAATATTGTAACAATTAATGTCAGTGTGGGAAAAATGTTGCAATATATGTGAATCAATCAGATGAAATGTATTTTATACAATGTTGTAATATTTACTTATTATTTAATTAGACATTGCATAACTAATTTTTATGTTCCCAGTAGCAATATCAACAAAATTAAAAGCATTAAACCAAACATATTAATAATATACATAAAACAATTGACAACTGTGTTTACTGTTAGAATAAATTCCATAAATAAAATATAATAACATAAATAAAGTGTATTTTCCTGTAAAAATGAAAGACATTTAGATTAATGAAACTTTATTATAGATAGCTATATCAGGAAGAATATTTCTGATTGTTTCTGTATTTATTATTATGATAATGATGACGATGCCACATTTCTGGCTTTGAAAGGAGTTTATATCATCTGATAAATGTGTAAACCTGTGTGGTTAATTTGAAAAACAGAACTTAATAATATTTAATAGATAATATATAATTAGTAAATAATATTTAATAGTAACAGAATTAATAATTTTTAATAAAAACAGAACTTAATAATATTTTGATTTTTTCTCCCTTTCCATTAAAGCTTCCTCCTCAGACTTTTAGAGAGCATAAAAAAGAGGTGTACTCAGTAGATTGGAGTCAGACTCGTCAAGAACAATTTGTTCTCTCAGCATCTTGGGATTGCAGTGTGAAGTTGGTAAGTTATGACAATTTCTTACATTTCTTTTAATATCAATAATTCAATGATATGTATGATTGTTGTGATCGATTAGGTGAAGTAAAATAATCAATTCTAATAAATTAATAAGTAAATTTTTATTACAGTGGGACCCTAATCGCCCCAATTCCTTGGCCACCTTCTTGGGACATTCACAATTAGTGTACAGTGCAATGTGGTCACCACATGTTCCTTCATGTTTTGCTTCTGTCTCAGGTTAGTTGTTTTATTTTCCTCCAGTTCCTTCATATGACTTTTAATTAAAATAAGTAGTGCAAATGTTATACAAAGTCATTAATTTTTGTATTGAATTTAGTTTTAAGCACTCATTGCCTAAAAATTTTTGAATATTTTTATTACTGATCTTGTCATGCAATATGCATGTTTAATGTGACAATGTGAAACAAATATATAGTGTCCTGCACATAACTCATTATTGCACTCAATAAAAAATCTTCTAAATATTTATTTGTGAAAGTATATGTAATATGTATGAAGAAGCAATTTTAAAGAGAATTTGGGCCAGTTTTACAAGGGACAGACTATGCAAATTTATTTCAAAATGAAACACATGATCAAATGGAGATCTATCCTAGAAATGTAGCATTTACAAAGAAATTAATAAGTATATGTAATAAATGTAATGTATGTAGAGAGAGTTGTAGAAAACAGATGGATTTTTTCAAAAACAATTCCCAGATTTAGTACTTTTGAAATTATTTTTGCAATGAAATAAATTCAGAAGAGATGATTTTTTTTTATACAGAAGTGATGTGAAGTGTAAAAATGTAAAGTTCTTGCACTTCTGTCATTTAGTCCATAAATGTAGATAAAACTTACACTCTTAGAAAAAGAGTTCTATTCATCAACATGTTATAGAGGAAAAGAAGAAATGAAATTTCTCAACCCACACTATTTTGTTCATAATAATTATGAACAAAAACTGAATGTCATTATAATAATTACTTTTATTATTAAAAACAGTAAAAAATCAATTTACGGCATGTTCTTGTGTATTTATTGAAGAAGTAGAAGATACTGATTTTTTGATTGGAGATTTTTCTAGCTGAAAATGGTTGCCCACAACACTCCAAAAATGATATTTCTTCAACCATACATTATATATTAAACACATTGAAGTTTTTCAGCTGTGAGATTGAACATTCTGAAGCTACCTGACAGATCTGAAAATGATAAAGACTTTCAAATATCTGTTCTTTTGATGAGAGGCATTGGGTTGGCAAATACTCTAGTATGACCACTTAATGCAGCAGCTTTTAAATTTAATATAGTTTTGAATTTTTTAAATAATTTAATTTAGGAAAAAAATCAACAAAAAACAAACAAACTTTTCTTTAACTTTTTTGGTTTTTGTTTTATTTTTATTTCGTTAGTTCAATTAGTAGAAGCTATGTTTGAACATGAGCAATAATGTATGTTTCAGTGTTGGATTATAGTACTATTATAGTACTATAGTACAATGCTGGAGGTAAAACACATTGATTAATTTTTAATGATGCAGTTTTAAAATTATTAATTAAAATATTTAAATGTGTTTTGCAATTTGTGATTTAAGCAACCTAATAAGAAATAGATTGAAGTGTCAATTTTTGTCTTTAAAAACTATTTTTCATTTATTTCAGGTGATGGAACCTTGAGAATATGGAATTCTCATGTCCCTCAGAGAGCTACTATGACTCTGCGTGCCCATGATGCAGAGGTTTTATGTTGTGATTGGTGTAAATATGATCAGAATATCTTAGCAACAGGGGGCTCTGATGGTCTTATTAGGGGTTGGGACTTGCGTAGTTTTTCAAGTCCCATTTTTGAACAGAAGGTATTTTTACATTTTCTGTGTTCTGTTTTCAGTTGGTTGTATTCTTACGATTCTTTGTCCATTAATCATTGGTTTGAAAATGCTAATTCATTAACCAATTTTCTTTCTTTTTTTCAAAGGGTTGTGAATATGCTGTCAGAAGAGTAAAGTTTTCTCCTCATCATTTCTCTGCATTAGCTTCAGTCTCCTATGATTTCACTACAAGGTAACATTTTAAATTTTTTTCTGTACTTACAAACAGTAACAAAATCACCAGAAACCAGTTGACTTTTTTCTTATTTGAATAGAAACATTGCATTTCAAGAAATTAATGTATTGGATCATTCATTTAATTTTTATTTTGCAGGATATGGGATTTTAAAGTATCATCTGAAGCAATAGAGACTGTAAAACATCATTCTGAATTTGTGTATGGCTTGGACTTTAATAACCATGTGCCAGGTCAGATAGCAGATTGTGGCTGGGACTCACTGATTCATGTGTTTTCTCCTCGTTCTTTGTCAGCGTTACGACCACACCTGACCTTGGCACCCAAGTGACACAGTTCAGAGTTGTATAGCAATTTGAACTTTGCAATGATGAGGTCTGCTCCTTGGCTCCATCGTTTTGTGTAAAATGAAACGATCTAGTTTGAACATCCAGAAAGAATGTTGTAAAGTTGATTTTAAGCACTGTGTTACTTGAAAGCAGTGAGCGTGGGAAATCAACTCTAAAAAGTATCAAATTTTAATATTGCCAGTTTGCTGGATTTTATATGCTAAGTCAGCATTCAGATTGCCAGTATCATAGCCAGTGAATATGGTGTGATTTAAATAATGTTGATGTCTGTATATATTATTAATATAAAATATTTATATAAGGAGGGTGATAGAGTTATATGTTATGTGTATGTAGAAATGGGAAAAATAGTGAAATTTTAATCTACAAATACTTAGAAGGTCCAGATGTATGCAGATGGCATTTTTATCTCTGATCACATAACTTTCAATACAAGTCATTGTATCTTGGCTAAAATTTGAAAAATAAGAGAAGTGTAGTGTACTGCTATTTGATGGCTGTGTTGAGGGCATTTACCACATAAAATAGAAAGTTTATTGGTCTTTCTTTTGTAATTGAAGCATAGAAGTTCATGGAATGGTTTAAAGTAAATAATGCATCTTATGTTTTACTGCCATTACACATTTCTGACAATTTGTCTGAGATAATATGAGGTACTAAGACTGACTTCATCTCATCTGAATAAAGACAACAACAGTACCTACTGAGAAAACAAAATATATGTGCGTCAGTTGAAATGTTGTCTATTGATTCATTTGTCTCCTGTGGAACACTTCAACAGGTTTGGCATAATGAGCTTTGGCTTCTTTTTAGCATGAAGTTAAATGTTGTATAAAAGAGATGTGTTTATTCATTTTGAATGGTTGTGTGGACAGGACTTGGATTTCAGCTCTTCATAAGTCTGACAAATTTTCTTGGAGTATTAAGTGGATATTATTCTACCAAGGGAAGGAAACATTTCATGACTTCAGAGTTTGAGATATTATTTGAATTAGAGATATCAGCAAACTTTTCTGAACTCTCAAGCACATGTGTAATGTATACAAAATCCTTTACTATCTTCATAGCGATATTTGGTATTCTAATAGGACTATTTTTGTCAGTGAATTTTAATATATTTGGTTATAGAAATAAATAATAAGAAATTATTTAAAAACTTATTTCTTGAAGGAAATATAAATTTTCACTTATAAGTTCATGTATAAAATCGAAATATTTGATCTTTGTGTTCAGGTTAAAAAAAAAGCATATTGTTTGTTAAAAGAGTTTAGGATTTACAAATACTTATTTTTAAAATGAAGCAAAAGCCCGGAAGATATTACTTTTGGAAAAAGTTATCTTTATGGTTGAGTATGCTGATATTGTAACAAAGGAAAAATATCAGTTAATGCTTCTCAGCAGAAATTGATGGGAGATGCTTTAAAAATTCTATTAAGTTTTTTATTTACCAAAATTCACATTGCATATTAAAATACACATCAAATTTAAGGAATATGTTTACATCTGTTTTATTATTAACAACAATAGTTTCTGATCTTTTAAAAAACAGACACTTGTATACTTTTTTCAGAAATTTATTTTGATAGTTTGACCCTTTTGGGGTTTTCTTCAAAATATTTGTATCTGGATTCAGGTTTGGAAAATCTTTATTAAAAATTTGAATTGCATTTTATAGAAAAATTATCAATTTTAAAAGTCTGTGGATAAAATCTATTGGTCTATGTATGAAAAGATAATGAAATTATTTGGCCAAACAAAAAGGGTTTAAGCATGAAAATAAATTGCAGAAAGAAGTATTAAGGTGTCTTCTGGAAACAAACATTAATGAAAGAAAGTCAACAGGTATTGTGGTAATGGTGGTGTTAAAACTGCAAGAAATTGTCACATTTAGCCATGTATTGACTGAAGTCACAGAGATTATTGATATGTGGAATAAAATCTAAACACCACAATTTATATGTACTCTAGGATGGATTATGAAAAATGTTTGCAATATTGTATGATCTCATAATTTTTCAGTTTGATCATACTTTGTAAATCTGCAAGAGTCAAATTACTATCGATCATATAAGTTAAAATATCGAAATATGTTATTAAAACTTTTAGTTGATGGAAAACTTCCACCATACTGGAAATATGGAATTTTGAGAAATAGTAAAATATGATATAATAGTATCTAATTGGCTGTGCAGGAGATGCCATATTGTATGCTCATGTCACAGTTTTGGCCGTCATTCTGTGACCTTCCTCTCGTGAAATGCTGTGAAATTCCTCAGGGCAAAATGCTGTGTAATTCCTCAGAGAATTTCTTGTTGAGGAAGGTTGCAGCATGGCGACCAAAAAACTTTGGCATCTGTGCCTAGGACACAGCATCTCCTTGATAGCCAAGTAGATACTGACTCTCGGAAGCCTACACCTTTGTGTTACGATAGCCAAGCCATTTTGTGATGAGCACGCGGCTTTTCAATTTCATTGACAAATTGTAAAGTTATGTCAAAATTTTTATAAAAATAATTTTACTTTTTATAAACGACTTCAAAAGTTAAATTTTTTAGTTATTGGACATGAGATTGTTTTCAGTTTTAGTTTTATATCACTGACTGAATTTAAGTAAATCTGATTAGTTTAATGTTAATAATAATACTTAATTAAACTTTTTTATAACTCTGAAGTGAAATGTGTATTCCTTTGTATATCTCTTCTAAAACGCTGAAAATTGAAATTTATGCCACAGCATGTAAACTGAGTTTTTGTAATGGAAAGAGGACCACTTTTACTGGTATTTATCAAATTTTCAGTGTAATTGCTCATTGTTTCCTTTTACTAGATAATATTTGAAATTTTATACAAAGAGAAAGAAATCAAATATTTGCTGGTTATATCTGTACTTATTCTATTACATTCTACACTTTCTATTCGTTTCTTGATAAAATGTGAACTGCATTGGATTAATCATTATATGAAAATTACAATTAACTTGGCTGTCCATAAGTTATTACATGTGACTGAACAATGTGTTGGAGATCTTCATACTGTGATGTATGTTTAAGTCAGAACGGCTTTAAAAAACTGATAAAGCATCTCCAATGTATTTTCTGAAAGGAATTTCTTATCATGAATGTGTATTTTGTCGTTTCCAAATTTCTAAAAATTGTGAAATATGTCATAGAGTTCAAAGTTTTCAAGTTTATCAGTCTCTCATATTCAGGAGTTCAGCTATGTACATTGTGCCAAATATTTCATATTTTCTTATTGTCTTCCTCTTTTTTAAGTGTTTTATGGTTGTGATTAGTATTTTTGTGAACATTAATGTTGGAGTTAAGTCGAGATTGTTCTCTGGGTACTTTCTTCTTAATTCATAACTGGATTATAACTGTACTTGACAGAAATGCCAACAAGAAAATGTTGGTAAGACATTCCATTAACAATATTTTAGATTAAGAATTCTGACAAAGTTTTTAGACATATCGTTAATTAATGATTTTTATGCTATATAATTTATGACTGTTGATTCTTGTCTTAAGTCTTGTACTGAGTACCTAATTTTTTTCTCTCTCTTTGGGACTGGTTTAGAACCCAATGTAAGCTAACAAGCTGATTGTGGACACTGTATTCTCTTTCTTGTATTAAGTTTAGCCAAGTACTTCTTGTTAAGCTAGTGATCTTATACAGTCTCAACATTGATACATTTCATTATCCTTCACTTTTATGAGAGATATAGCATTCTCTTTACACAGTTCAAATATTACATGTTTAACTTTATTTCGAGGTCTTATAGGATGACAGTGTTCTGAGAGCTTGTCATGTCTTTCAAAATGTTTCTTTTTATTAAATTGTTACCTTATGTAATTCTTATGCTGTGCATTGTTATTGTTATGCATTATTAAGCTTTTTTTTACATGTTGAGTTACTGTTGTTTCAAACAAGCATTGGATGTGGACAAATTGTTTGATTTTTCAAAGGAAAATAGTGGGAAATGAAAGTCAAAGAAAAAGGATTGAAAAATGTTTGCTGCAAGATGTACTTTATTTTTATTTTTTTATATCTTCAAAAATTATTTATTGAATTTGAAATTAAATCAATATTTGAAATTGGAGAGATAAAAGCGCACAAGTTTAAGGAGCATCAAATGTGCAGTATAATTCGTTATTCAACTTTTTAATTATACATGTATTCAAGCTGTTTTGTTAAAAAATTGTTCCCTGAATTAATAAAATATTGTATCTTTCAGAGGAAGAAAATGAAACCTTGAATATTTTATACTTATATAAATACGTTTGTGTAGCATTTTGTATTGTGCTACATTAGTAAGAATGATCATGGAACTGAATAATTTAATTATTGTTACTCATTTTGGTAGATTGGATCTTAAATGACAGATCTGTGAAGGATTTAGGTTTTAAATTGGTTTGTTGCTGAAAGGCACATTAAACCCAGTCATAGTCATTGGTCTGAGTTGTTTCATGTGTTTGCCAACACTGTTGAAGATTGTGTAGAAATGCCTTTCATTTGTCTGGGATGTTCTAATTGTGCCATAGGCCACTGATTATAATTGAAAGCAATACGATGTTATCATCTTTGACTAACTGATGTAGAAATGTGAATTAGTAGCAAGGGTTTAATTAATGTTTAATTTTATTTTTGAAAGAAGCATTGTGTAATAAAGCTGCTCTCTGATATGCACCAACTCCAGTTGTTTTAACTCTTGTTACCAAAATATAGAATTCCTAGATATGTTGGGTTAGTATTGGAAATTGTAATTATTGATGCTATTTGCAAAACATGACAGTATTTACAAATTGCTCAAAAGTGTATGTGTACTGTAAGCTTCAATGAAGTTGTGTTGATTTAACTGTGATGCACTAATTTCTGTAATAATAACTGCTTTGAACCAAAATGACAGTTATTTCTTCCAGTGAAAACTGAAAGAAAAGTTATTTCAAATGATACTGAATTAAAATTTGTCTTGAAAGGAAACGGTTACTCTTGCGAGGCTGTTCAAAATTTGAGCCCATCTTTTCTTTTATTTGTCAATATTTATCTTGCCTACAATTACACACTATATTAAAACTGTATGTTTATATTAGAGTATGCTGTAACGGACAAAGCTATTTGTGATGCAGATGTTACAAGAATTTGGCACTAGAAGTGTGTATGTTGTTGTGAACATGAAATAATCGTAAAGTTGTTACATATTCTTGCATTAAATTTACAAGAGACTGATTGTATGTGTCAAAAAGCCTGTAATCATGGTAATTGGGAATAAAAGTCCTGCTGACTACATGTAAATAACTGTATAGTTTTTATGTATACTTCCACTACTGTCACACACTGTATATTCTTTTTTTATTAATTTTTTAAAGTTTCATTTCATTTGATTTGTTATTAATAAAAAGTAAAGCCTGAGTGGTGTGACATTCAATGTTTGGATATTTGCATTAGAGTTTTGCAGCATTGAGTGTGGATGTGGTGTTCTCAGTTCAAAATGTTTTCTTTGAGATGAGATGGGATAACTTCTAGGTTAAAATTTGACTCTTCTTCCCCCATTTGGTAAAAAAAACAACCTTCATTTATTTAAGAAACTTGAACTGTAGAAAAATAAGCAAATACCAACTATTCTTTATAATTCATTTTCTAACTGTACATTAATGATACCTATTATAGCCATTGCATCAGTAGTAGCCACATGAAGAACAAACTTTGAAAATAAGAATGAGAAAACGTTCTAAAAATGTAGTTTTATACAGTTTGTCTTCCTTGATAATCAAATTCGCAAATAGATTGATTAATTGCAAAAATGTCCCATAGATATCTCTGTCACTAATTGAAAATTTCAAGAACAAAGTTGATTTGACTGCTATGAGACCAGATGTTATGCACAAAAAATTTCAAAATGGGTAGACACTGTTAACATATTTCAAATAGTCTCCAAAAGAGGTCTGTAAAAATTTGGTGTTAATGATATCCAAACAAATACTAAAGGGAATGTATTTTCCAGACTTTTCTAGGATGCAATATATTTGAATATTAACACATTTTAATAATAATGAAATCAGCTCTTTAAATCATCTATTTCATTTTGACCACAACAGTATACACATTTTGGCTTTTTTGTTTTATTTTATTTAATGGAACCAAATCCAAATGAAACAATTGTGTGGGTACTAATACTTCACATTATGATTGTATCACTATGTCACCCTCAGCACACAAATGATACCTGTCTTCCAGCTCCTAGGAAATAGTAACAAACATCTTCAAATGATTTTTTATGTTCTGACTTTCCAAAGATACGTTTTCTGAAAAAATACATATATTTTCTGAAAAATGAAGATGATATATAAATGTCAACCGCCATTATTAGCACATACTTGATCTAACAGTGCTACAATGTTGAGATTAATGTCAATATCAGTGGAAACATTATTTTCTTTCTTACAGATCATCCCTTTGCTTTCAAAGCTCGAAGTCCAAAATATCAGCATTAACCTCCTCACATCTTCCTCCATTTGGCTTAGAATTACTGGGTAAGTGTATTTTATTAACGTAAATTGTTCAGTATTCCCATAGAATTCTTATCAGCAATAAGAAAAGAAGCAGAAGAGAGGGTCTTATTGGAAGAGACTCGTTAGGGGACTTCTTCATGTGGTGTTTTACAATTTTGTTTGAACCATCCTATCTTTAACATATTTAATGTTGTTTTCATCTCATTTTCATTAGATTTCCTAACTTCAAGAAATGTATACTGAAGACTTTTGCAATATGTTCTTTCTATGACATTTTCTCATAATTTTATATGAATGCAGAATACTACCATTATTCTTGTGTCAATTTATGTTTATTATGTATCTAAAAATTAATATTTCATAAAATAATGGATATCAGTAATAAAAACATTGTGATTTTGGAGAAACTCTCAATAGTCACTAAACAACACAGTCAAACAGTCTAAGCATAGGTGGATTAGAAATTTAATATAGTAAATCAGTTAAATACACATTTTTGTGCTTTCCCGAAGTAATAAGCACAAATAGGCAATATTATCTTTGCGGTACACAAAGATATTGATGTGAACTTCTTTTAAGTCATTTGTTTAACATCCCTGACATTGAAGAATAGGTTTTACAGGCCTATTATCTGGTTTTTAATTATAACTCAACTCAAGGAAGTCCAAAATATATAATTTTGCAATATCTTTGGTTCACTTCTTTACTAAATGGTGCATCAATGACACTTCAGAATATTTTAAATATAAATGTGTAAATGGGTAATCACACCAATTAATTTAAATGAATGAAATTTAAGTTAACTATAATATTAACAAATAAAAATGAAATATTTTGTATAATTTTGTTAATTTTGTATATTTTGAAATTACATAAATTTTGAATCTTATTGTAAATATTTTTAAAATATAGTTGCAAACTGTATAATCATACAAACATTTCTTATTACAATTCAAATTTACATTTACATTTCAAATTTACAAGAAATTGTTTTTAATCTGTTACTTTTAATAATTACAATCTGTTGTAAACACCTTTAAAGAAACATAGATATAGGTCAATATTTGATGGATTTATTAAAGTATACAATGAAAAGGCCTTTATTTTTAAAAATATTTAACAAAGAAAAAACCTGCAACAACAAAATTTGGTATTTTAACTAAAAAATCTAATTTAAATTGCAAAACCAGATTTTTTTTTGAAAATTGTTGTCTTCCACGCTTCCACCCTATGTATTACTTGTAGAAGGGCATCATGGCAGTCTTATAATTTTCTTAGGTAAAAACTTCAAACATATTCATAAATATGAAAAATTAGCTGTGTAGGAATTCAGTTATTTTATCCGTGAATTGTGTACTAGACCTCCTACTAAAATTGCAGTTGTTTATAATAAATATCCAATAATTATCAGGCAAATAATTGGCTCTAATTTTGATCTTTGTTCACCAAGGGTCACTGATTTCAGAATGGAATGGAATAATATTTCATTTTGTTATCTATTTTGCTGTGGCAACTACTTAGTTTTACACACTTTTTACAAAGTTACACCTTTTACAAAGTTACACCTTACACTAGTTACACCTTTTTTTACAAAAAATACTATTGAGTCCATTTGTTGGGCACAAGATCCTTAATGTTCTACTTTTGAAATCAGTTTTACTGATTTGATATGGAGAGCAAATAATAAAGAAGGGATCAACAAGTTTTTCTTCTAGATCAAAAACATTTGTTCAGCTTATTGTATTCAATAATGCAAGAAAGACCAAGAGATGTCAATTATTTCTGAACTGGTGCCGTGAACCAGTGATAATATTATTGTAACATAAGGATATCTTTCATCATTTTATAGAGCAGTTTCATTTTGAAAATCCTGACAAAGGAATTACCCAACAGTTCATGGCATTGCGTTTATTGTGTTTCTTCTGATTGTTTCAATTAATACAATTTTGAATGTGTGAGAACAGGAGTTAGTTTGTTCACCCTTCAACTCTGTTTCACCATTACTTACGCAGACTCTGTTTGGGGTCAGATTTGACCCAAAACATTTTATCCTATAGTTTACCTGCATTTCATGCATTGATGCTATTTGGAATTATTAATTAAGACAATTATATTTATTTTCTTCATTTACTCTGTTGGTTTAAAAAAACAAAGAATAATATTTCCAGAAAAACATATCCTTGTAACTTTACATATGTGTCTACCATATCAGCATGAGAATCTCTGATTCAAAGCTACTAGCTCATAATAGACAAATATGACAGATTTTCATCCAGAAACAATTCAAGAACATAATTTTATAAAATGGATGTGGACAAGTTTTTAGAATTTTTCTTATAATTTAAACTTGTAACAATGAATCTATTTGGGAGAATTTCTGTCCCCAGCTGCATAAAAATCAAATTACTTCAAACCAAGAAAACTTTAAAAATTGTTAAGTTTACCATATGTAAAACTTAACATAATTTGCATATGTGAAAGGAGAACTTCATATGACTAATTTTTGGTGTTGTAAAACATTATTTGCGTCTGGGGTAAGAAAAGACCTCAAGCACTCTAAGGGTTAAAGAAGCATTGTGCAAGAATGATTATGCATAGGACTACCTTCATTAGTGTGAGACCAAAACTACCAAAAATAGTGTGAGAATAAGACCAGTCAATATTGGTTGAAATTATTATTATCCGTTTTGTTAGTTATCTGGAATATTATTTCTGTGATGTCTCATGTAGGCATATATACTGTTTAGGATCTACTTGGCAAGCTTATGTATTCTGAAAGATAGTTCATGAGATACGTTTAAATTTTCTATTCAGATTAAAAAAAAGTTCATAATCCATTCCATTCAATATAATACGTATTACATACTTCAATTTTACACCTCTGCATTTGTCAATTGGTGTTCGTTATTTTCTGTTATTTTACTTGTTGATGGGGTATTTCTTTTACTGGAATTGCCCACATAATGTTGAGAAAATAGAACGATTATTCTTCTAGGTTCTGGAATTTTCTTTCATGGAGAAAACGTGGGATAAGTGTGTGTGCTTGTGTGTGCATGTGCAGATGGTGTTTATGGATAAGTGTGAATCTGTGCATTTAAATATGTAAGAAAAAAGGAAAACATGTAAAGTAACATTTCAGGATAGTGCTTGCAATTGTCCCATACGAGCATTTTCAAATTACCTCCACACAATTAATTGGACCCTAATCTTCACCAAACAATACGATATAAATTAAATGTAAAATACGGTACGTACGTAGAATATAGAATGTTTACGAGAAGTACGTTAATTGTCTTTCAGCCCTAGCCAGAGACGGATTGGAGGGATGGGGGGTAAGAAAACCATGTTCTCCTCTATAAATCCAACATTGTCTCTGTTGCGTCTGCAGCATCGATGAACGGGAACGTTGTAGGGTTCGAGACTCGACGGTTGCGGATTTTTGACATTCGTTAGGTTGCCGGGTCGAATTTGCCCACTGTCTGGAAGAGAACTCTAGCAAACGGCTGTTCTTATCAGTACCGAAGTATATGCCGGAGCAGTACCAAACGGGTCCCGGACAGCGCATACCTTGGGATGAGAAGAAATGAACCCGCAAGCCGACGTATTAAAGGAAACATGACAGAAATAATACGCAGCAACAGGTAAACATGTAAAACTATATAATACCTAATAAGTAAGATTCGGTAAAATACAAATGGTTTTAATTCATTCGGAATGTCATCCAAACTCGAAAAAACATTTTTGAACGGAAGTATCTCGTACTACTTGCATCTAGTATTTTTTTAATACTTGCAATATGTATTTACATGAAAATCCTTTCCTAGTGCTCACCAATGATGTGTGTCATAATAATCATTGGTCATCACCATTGAGTATGTTAGGCAGTTGGTGAAACTGATTTCTTCG